TTTCTATAATATGCTGATTAACCGTTACGAATGCCTACATTATTTACCATAAATTGAGTGATAAAAATTACAAGTTATGACTCCTATTTCAATTAGCAAGAGAATTAAGAGAGCTTTATTTAAACAGAGAAAACCGCAAAATTGCCCCAGGATTTAATCTAAGCAAAATCTTTAAATTAAATCTAGCAATAGCTCTCGAAGAAAAGACATCAATCCAGATTGGACTTGTACAAACAACAAAACAAGTGATGTATGTAAAAAATGTTCATATTATGTGTGTGGAAAATCACTTCCAATTGAAAAAGTTTTGTTTGTAAAATTGCGAAACTGTAAAATCGTTTTATTAAGGGTAGGCTGAAATTTATATAAATAGCCTCTATTTTTTATAAATAATCTGTTATTCTTTAAAGTTCTTCAACAACTGTAATTAATATTCTTAAAAGCATTTACATTTGAATATATAGATTAATTCGTTGAGCAGTCAGTTTGACTGCCGTTGGCGCTTCTAGTTAGGGAGAAATCTTGGCGCTTCTAGTGTTAAAACGTATAAAAAAATAAATTTCTGGTGGTAGTCGCTGGGACCGAAAGGTGAAACCAATGTTTATTTAAAAACAAAAGAAATACAGGGCGTGTGAGTATAAGTTTATATGAAAATTGTTCATCTTATTATTGAATTCAACTAATAGAATGATATTCTAATTTAAAGCTTTTGGATTAAAGCGTCGAACTATTTATCTTGATTAGGATGTTCTTTTAAAATTTGAGCTCTTGTATTAGAGTGGCAAATTTACTATGTTAGAATATTTCTATTATGAAATTTGAGCTCTTGTATTAGAGTGGCAAATTTATTACGTTAATATTATAATATTTGTATTCTTAAATTTGAGCTTTCGTTTTAGATTCCAAAATGAAGAATTTTGTTGTGTGAATTAAGTTAGAGGCTTGAATTTTTTCATTCAATTTATTAAGAACAAGCTTCGCATTTTTTTTAAACTGAAGGTACATACTTTTTATTGCATTAAGTGTTTTTAAAAAAATACGTTGCATCATATTTGAATTTCTAATTTAAAAAAAGGCTAAATTGAGAAAGTTTATTTGGATTTTTTGAGTATTGACTAAAAGACTTTAAAAATGAATTTTGAAACGCTATCCGAGAGTTTTTCTGTTTCTAAAAATGCCATTTCTTGCAAAGGGTAGAAAATAAGATTTAATAGAAGTAGCCAAAGAATTAGGTGAGGAAGTGCTGCTAAATCCCAGAAATAAAAAAAAATCACTTAAAGTCAATTTCACAATGAGGGAGAAGTTAAATTAATTCTAAACCGAGTAATTGCTGAACGTCTGGCTCAGGAAGCAAAAGAAGAACGCTTGGCTCAGGAAGCTAGAGAAGAACGTCTGGCTCAGGAAGCTAGAGAAGAACGTCTGGCTCGGAAAGCCATGGCATAAGAATTTGAAAGCTGCTGGAATTTGAAAAGCAATATCTATAACAAGATCACACGATATAGTAAACAAGTGCAAATCACTTGCAAATTACTCCTGTTGCCCCTACGTGCAATAAGTTCAGCATTGTTTCTGCGCATGCAGTTGTTAATTGAACTCTGCGCATGTGTTGTCCGATGGCGAATTAGATTTTAGATTTTTATTAATTCGTTCTCTGCTTCATTAATTTTTTAGTTGTAAATAAAATCACAGATTTAGTACCTTCTACAAAATTAAATATTGAAAATATAGATATTCCTAATACATCAAGTTTGGCTGATCCAGAATTTGCAACTCCATCTAGTATAGATCTGCTTTTAGGAGCAGAAATATTTTATGACATTTTTATTAATGGCCAATTTAAATCTTCTACACGAAATCACTCGTTTTCAGAAATTCTGTGTTTGGTTATATAACTACTGGTTCTTTGAAAACATCCTTTGAAAATTGTCAGAATTATTGTGGACTTCTCGGTAATGTTGATAATATTGATAGATTGGTAGAAAAATTTTGGTTAGTGGAAAATATTGGTGAAGAAAAGCCAATTCTTAGCCAAGAAGAAGAATTCTGTGAACAACATTTCAAAGACACTTACAGACGAAATGAAGATGGCAGATTTATCGTAAAAATGCCTATGAAAGACGAACAATTAGGAAATTCAAAGCACTTAGCCAACATTAGACTCAATCAATTAGTTAAACGTCTTAGCAAAAACGCTACATTGCAACATTTATATCAAGATTTCATAACAGAATATGAAAATTTGGACCATATGGAAAGGGTCGATGATAATTCAAAACCGGAACTTGAATATTACCTCCCCCATCATGGAGTATATAGACCAGAGAAGTCAAGTACAAAATTAAGAGTTGTGTTTAATGCTAGTGCCCCAAGCTCAAATGGCTTAAGTTTGAATGATTTACTTTTAGCGGGAGCAGTCCAAGAAGATACTTTTGATATTCTTGTGAGATTTAGAAAACATCAAGTTGCAGTTATTGCGGATATACAAAAAATGTACCGGCAAATTTTAGTTGATGAATCCCAAAGAGACTTACTTCGAATCTTATGGAAGAGAAACCTTAGCGACTCACCTGTGACATATAGACTCAAAACGGTGACTTATGGTACTAAAAGTGCTCCATTTTTAGCCATTAGATGCATAAAGCAAGTTGCATATGACGAAATGCATAAATATCCTGAAGCTGCCAAAGCTGTCTTGTCAGACTGTTATGTTGATGATGTCATCTCTGGTTCATCAAACTTAGCAGCAGGGAATTGAAAAATCAGCTTATACAGCTTTTTCATAGTTGTGGAATGACTTTGCACAAATGGAACTCTAATTCTCCTGAACTGTTGGATAGCCCTTCTACAAGCTCTGAGCTTTCATTCTCCTCCAAAAGTGATAATGTGGTTAAAGCTTTAGGTATTACATGGAATTCTCAGAAGGATGAATTCAGCTTTAAAGTCTCAATCAAGGAGAAATCATCATATACCAAAAGAGACATTTTATCGACAATTGCCAGACTTTATGATCCTTTAGGACTGATTGGTCCGGTAATCACCAAAGCCAAGATATTTTTACAGAAATTATGGGTTCAAAAACTGAGTTGGGATGAACCACTTTTTTGCAACTATTGCTCACGAATGGCAACAGATAGTTTCAAATTTAAAGGCTGTTGAAAACATTAAAATTAATCGTTGCATCCTCTCCAATCATCCAAGCAAGATTTCACTCATTGGATATGCAGATGCTTCGGAAGCCGCTTATGGTGCAGTTGTCTACTTAATTTGTGTCGATGAAGATCACGGCTCGTCATCTCATCTATCTACTAGCCAGCAAATCTCGTGTGGCTCCATTGAAAACTTTATCTATTCCAAGATTGGAACTTTGTGCATGTTTGTTATTGGCTCATCTGATTTCGAAAGTTAGCAACTCATTGAAGATGCATTTAGATGACATCATTCTGTGCACTGATTCAACGATAGCACTGTCATGGTTGAAGACTTCTCCTCATCTTTTGAAGACCTTTGTTGCAAATAGAGTCTCCAAAATCCAAAGACTAGTAGAGCCGCGACACTGGAAGCACGTATCATCAGCAAATAATCCGGCAGATCTGATTTCTCGTGGTGCTTATCCTCATGAACTTGTGACATCTTCCTTTGTGGTGGAATGGTCCTGAACAGAGCGAACTTAGTGATGCTTCTTTATTTGAACTTGACAAGACTCTCATAGATTCTCCTGCTTATCAGGATGAACTTAAAAACCTTTAGACGTTAATTTGAACTGCAATTTAAACTTGTTTTGGAATACCTTTTTTGAATTAACAAATAATTATGTTAAACTAATTAGAATTTTAAGTCTTATTTTCAGGTTTCTGTCCAATCTGAAAGGTCCAGTGAAGAAAACAGGCCCCATTAGTAGCACTGAATATTCAAGATGCGGAAATGCACTTGATAAAAATGGTTCAGGTAATAGAATTTGCAGAGGAGATTAAATCACTTCAAGATCAGAGAGTAATCAAAAGTCAGGTAAAAACTTTAAATCCATTTTTAGATGGAAAAGATATATATTACGTGTGGGCGGTTGCTTAACTCATGCCACAATTAATTATGATTCTAAACATCAAATTTTATTGCCAAAAAATCATAAGCTTACCAAGCTAATATTTATTCATTATCATTTGAAAAATTTTCATGCTGGTCCTCAAGCATTGTTACATTTTGTTAGGGAAAGGTTTTGGCCCATTGGTGGCAAGGACTTAGCTAGAAAAACAGTTCATGAATGCTTAATTTGTTTTCGTCATAAACCTATCATTTCAGATCAATTAATGGCCGATTTACCTCCTGAACGTGTAAATCCAAATCTAACCTTTCATAACACAGGGATAGATTTTGCAGGCCCTTTTCTAAAATCAGAAAGAAATGTATTTTTCAAGGACATATAAAGAAAAAAAATTATGATTCAGAGGAAATGGTTGAGAAGAATTGATCAACAATTGTAAATGGTAAGATAGCAGTGAGTAACACAAAGTTTGGTCCAATTAAGAGGCCATATAAAAATTTGTTTATTGCCTATTGAGGATAACTTCAAGGATTAATTTCTATTGTTAATAAAATATACATTGTTCTTTATTATACTTATATTTTGGTAATTTTGATGAAAAATGTCAATATTTTACTGTTTGAAATGTTGATATACTTACCATAATTATTGAAAAAATTTGCAAATGTTCAAACTTTATAGAATTTTCTGAATTGTTTATTTCATTCTGTAAATGATTTACTAACTTTAAGTCTTTTGTTAATGCTTAAAAAAATGAATAGCTGAATTGTTATTGATATTGAATTGTATACTTAGATTTAGTTTGCATATCATAGATATTGCAACGTGGAGCGGTATGTTGCCTCCTACGTGGCAATATAAGTTATATACAGCGCATTGTTTCTGCGCAAAGTTATGTACAGCTCATTATTTCTGCGCAATTTTAGTTAGTTAAGATTCGAACTCCTAGCATAGCATACATGTTTTGGTCCCGTATGGTCGGAAATTTATCATTTTCGATTTAGATTTTTAGTTATGACACAGTCCACGAAATAAAATTGATGTTGTTTTTGTAAAATTGTCTTTAGTATAGAGTCTAACCAGAGACCTCAAAACAATTCCAAAGCTTTGCAAAAAAGGGATGAAAGAGGACTAAATTTGATAAATTTTGAAAGAACGGCTGAAATGGCTCAGGTTCCTAAGAAAGATTTGGTTGAAAAAGAAAGATTGAATTCTCTTGGGTGTTTTAACCTTCCAAAATCACCAATATGTTAGCCAGAGATCCATCTGAAGATGCAAATAAATACGAATATGTGAAAAATCTAATCTTAAGACGATATAAACTTAACAGTGAAAAAGCTGAAACAGTGCTTTTATCGACATCAAAAGACTTATGATAAAGTTTGGAGAAATTATGCTCATAAACGTTATAGTTATTTTTTTGGAGTGGATTGCGGATTTAGAAATTAAGACATCTGAGAGTCTGAAAGATTTAATAGTTACCGAGCAAATTAAAAATAAGGTTCCAATGGAAGTAAAGGATCATTTTCTAGACCAATGGGTGAAATTAAAAACTCCATGTGAGCTAGCAGAAAAATTAGTCGAGTATGAGATAAACAGAGCTTTAAGAAGGAAAATCCTAGAAAACAAGGTTTAAAACTTCAATAAAGTCATCAAAATATGTACAAACTGCAAAGTACTTATCACCATAAACATAAACCTAAAGAAATCTCAAAAAGATTTTAATCCTGAACCCATAATTAAGACAGAATGTACTAATAAAATTCATGAAAGGGAATTTGAGAAATGGAGATAACCTCGTTGTCATGAATGTGGACCCTACTCGCGTATTCGACCTCAATGTAATAAACTCAAGACGAAATTAGAAACTGTAGCATCAAAAGAAACTGCGTACCCTCAAATGAATTTTTCAAACATAGTTTTAAGGATATTATAACTGCATATACCAGCCTAGGTAATATAAATTGCTATAAAATGTCCATACTTACAAATACTGGTGCAACTTTGGATTTAATTTGCTGAAAGATGTACAGCCTTTCATGTATGCAGATGAAACCTTGTGGATACGAACACCTCTGGAAGAACATCCAGTGTGCTTAACTTTGGTTGAAGTAGAGCTTGAATGGGATCTTGGTCATATAATAACAAAGGCTGCATTCTTTAAGATATTTATCGGATCAAGGAAGGTATCTTCTAGGTAACAAAACCACTGCATTATTTGAAAAAGAAACACGAGACGAAGAAATTCAAATTCAAGTGATAAAAGCCATACAAACTCGTGCTCACCAGCGACGTCTAAAAGAAACGGAAAATCTAGTCTAGTTAAATTCTGAAATTCAACTTAATGACAAAGACACACTGACTGAAAATGAAAGTTTGCCTCCTGTAAAATATGAATGTTCTGAATTAGATATAATAAAGGCCTCTTCAGAAATATTTATACAAGAACAAAAGAAAAGCGTCGTTTGTTGAAGCCACTTTATGAAAAAGGTAAAATAAAATCTTCTAAAGGTACGAGGTATATGTTGAAAGGCCAAATGCTCTTTCTCAAAAAGAAATATCACGATGAAAAACAAAAACTATTGATTGTTGTTCCTAAGAAATATCGGAAACAGTTGAGGATTATTTGTCATGAAGAAATTGCAGCCCATCTTGGCGCAAGAAAGTTCAAAGATGTATTATTCAAAAATTTTTATTGGCCAATTTTTTACAAACATGTCGAGAATTTTGTTGCAGCTTGTGGTAAATGTCAATGAATTGAAAAGCTGCAAGATAAAAAGAAAACACCTTTGAAAATTGTCCCTGTTATCACAGATATATTTTCAAAATTAAATGTTGATGCTTGTGGGCCTCTGCCTGTGACACCTTCATGAAATATGTATCCTATAAGTGCAATCTGCATATCTTCAAAATATCTGGATGCAGTTCTGTCGTAAATCTTTGTTCAACCATGATTGTTTTGATGTTTTCCTTCCAATTTTTAGTCGAATGAGATTTCCAAAAGAGGTGCAGACCGACCAAGCCAGCCACATCTTTTATGCGTGCACTGACATCGAATTTCATAGGAAACTTCGAAATTAAAGTTGCACGAAGTTCTGTTTATCATCTACAAAGCAATCCTGTAGAGAGGATGCATAGAACTTCAAAAAGAATTCTTTGAGTCCTGTTTCTAGAATCTGGTCTGGACTGGGATAACAATCTTACCCCAGAATTTATTTGTTCTTCGAATCACTATTCGCGACAGTACAGGTTATTACTCGCCAGTAGAATTAGTCCATGGCAGAAATTTATGAACTCCAAGTATGCTATTGTATGAAAAAGTATCTGGTTAAGAAGAGGAAGAAAATACTGTAGTGACTATATTTTTGAACTAATGAATCAAATGAGGAGATGTCAAGAACTCGCTGTCCAGCATATGGAAGAAGCCAAAGAAAGGCAAAAGCTCTGGTGTGATCGCAAAATCGGAAAGCGCAAATTTCAAGAATGAGACTTAGTTCTAGTTGTGGCTCCTTCGAATCCAAACAAATTGTCAGTTAAGTGGGTAGGTTCTGGAAAAATAGTTCAACAATTATCAGAGACACATTATGTTGTCGAGTTTCCCGAGAAAAATAAAACTCAGGTGTACCACATTAATATTCTGAAACCGTATTTTCAACGAGCAGAAAATACAAACTTGCAGTGTTTAGAAGACAGAATAAACGAGTATGAAGATGAAA